ACAACCGACCAAACTCACCATCGCTTTATAATCAGACAACCTGCACAAGGTCATTTGAAGATTGTTATAGGTCATACATATGACTTCAAAGAACTATGTATGTAAATGCGCTGAAGACGGCGCCATCTTAGTCCTTGGTAACATGAACAGTCAACTTCATTATTCCTCCGAAGCCAGCAGGCTGGTACCAGAGCTATTTAATCTGATTCCCCTTGAGCTGGCCGAAACGTAGTCCGAGGCAAACTCGACTAGCGCCCTATGCGGGGAAAAGGCAAAGGTAGGATCTCTTAGATAATGATTCGATGATCCAGGAGGTGTTTTGAATCAAGAATTAAAAACATATCCTTTAGATGATGATGAGAACGATCGCACCCTGTGGCGAAATTTTCGGTCTGGTAAGTGGAGAGGGGGTAAAGAAGTTCAGACTTTTTGTATGGCGTTAGTAATGAGTTCTTATATAAGCAACTGAAAAGACTGTCTGTTGAAATTCACTCGAGATGATCCCCTAAATAGGCGAACATCCGTAACCTATCAACGCAGAGGCGTACAAAATTGTGCATTTCTTCCCGATTCTTCAACAGCGAACCTGGTTCGTTCCGAGCATATGAGCACACAATGAAATTCGCATTGGATCACCTCCCAGAGACCAAGGCAAGAACTTCTGGTAAGCCCCGCAGAACTCTTCCCACAAATTCATGGATTTTTCACATCTGCTTAGCGCATACTTAATTCAAGATACATACCTCTCTATAATGTCTCGCTCACGAGCACGGATTTTGTCGCTCTCGTGGTACCTCTCGTTGCATAAATCAGCGCACATTGATGTGAGTAATTTGAAGCGATCTTCCTGAACAGCTTCGTTTGAAGTCAAGCCGCGAACGAACTGAACTTCGAATTGATCAACTAACTCTTGCTAGGATGTCGTTCGCAATAGCTTGTTGCTTCTTGAGCGACTTCTCCACTTCAGCGGCAGTTCTTCCGTGATCCATTTCTTCAAGGACTGCCTGCACGTTTCTTAGCCAGCTCTAGAACATTCATGCCATCATTTCAAAATAAGGTTCTAAAGAGAATAAACGGCACATACCTCTCGTAGATTTGCTTTTTTGTGGAAACGCTGTGCTAATTGTTCCAGTCGTTCTTGTCTGAGAAAAAACGAATTTATTCAACACGAACTAGTCCTGAAGAAAAGTCATCGATAAAATTCTCACCTTTGCAGTTCGGCAATTATTGCAACTTGACGATCGTTCTCAGCTCGATCCAGCTTTTCCCAAGCTGATTCGACGTCATACATAAACAGGCCTGAAATTCAGTTTGGAAGAAGAACCCCATGGACCGTAATAGAACGAACAACCTTGAGGTGGAGCGTACTGCTTCCTTCCCATAGCCTTTCTCTTAGTTTGGATTGTGAAGAAAAGAGCTTCTAGTTCTCCTTTCTCCTTATATCTGCAAGAACACTTTACTCATAGAAGACTGTGAAAATAACGCTGCCTCGGTCAACTGCAATGTTCACTTACTTGGGAGGCTTCTCAACCGTTCGGAATTGGTTGAAGTTCCCAAGCTCTTCCCGCATTCCATGCAACGAATTCGGGAAACTGTAAAAAGTACCGTAGCTGCTACAAAAACAAAAATAATATTCGCGGTTTCGAAAAGATCGCTGACCGCCTATTTTCGAGGAGTTTTATTGTTTCGTAAATCCATTTCAATAGATCCGACGCAATATGTTCGTAGTCATCTTCCATTGTATCACTGGTGATCAATTTTCCAACAATCTGCAACCACAGCTACGTCCCTCACGGTCCCAAGAGTGATAAAAAATAATTACTCACATTAGCAACCCTTCTTGCTCCAGTCAACTCTGTCTTTTGCTTCGCGAAGTGATGGTAGTACAACGACACGTACGTGATGATGGACTTCTCGTCCGGACGAGCGGCATCCACATCTTCAGCATCGAGCAGACGCTAAAAATGTCAGCATCACAGAATATCGCGACATTTCACTTAATAAAAAACATCAAATTAAAGTACATCGGAACTATTAGAAGGACGATTCGGTCCAGGCAATAATTCGTCGTCAGAGCAAGCATTACAGGTAAATCAAACCAGGGATGGGAAAACGAGATTCAAAGAGTCGAACTTGGACGACGAGAACTCGTAATTAAAGGAATACCTGTCGTGTCGTTTATATTGGATAGACATATAAAGGAGAAAACTTT